TAGTTAGCCTAAAATGAACGGCCCTTTGCAAGCTACACTCTATAGCAACCAATACAAATAAACAGTTTGGTAACCAAGTTGAGCTTTATAGCAATACATTGAAAGTTTAAATGATTAAAATTGATCTTTTGGTTTGGCTTTACTCGATCAGTGTCAAGGTCATGATGAAAATGTGCCTGATGGCTATAAGGCTTAAACTGATCACAATTCAAATTCATATGAATCTTATCTAAAGTCCCAACAGCATATTACTATTTCATTTATCGTTATGTTAAGAGAAACTATTGTTTGCAACCTTCTCTGCTGATTGTATCAATTTGCTCAGAGAGAAGAGCGTGCTCCTCTGTTCTGCTATCTTGAAGCAGCAGGTAAAAGAGGAGGCTGAATATGTCAAAGAGACCTCAATAAATAGTGGATGTCATGAAGCGTCTGTGGAAGCTGTCGGCTTTGAAATCCACTCCCTGGTTGAGTCACACTCCTCATTCGCTCTTTTCATTTTACATTAAACTGACCCTGTGCTGTATAACCATCATCTCCAACTCACACATATTCATATACACCTCATCTCTGGCTGGGCCTGTCTGAGGCAGTTAGTGCTCAGAGCAACCAGGCAGGTGCTGTGTCCGTCTTAGGGGCTCACGTCTGCATACATCAACTTCAATTTAACCCTCAGTTCTCCAGGCTGGAGAGCCCGGTTGACACCCACAGGAAGGGAGCAGACAGGCACACCAGCAGAGAACAAAAATAAAAAGACTATTTTGGACCAGGCACGCAGTGAAAATGGTAGCGTTTCTCAAAGACCTCTAAGGTTAACTGGTTTTCTTTTGAAGCTGCGAATTGATTTCTGAGCTCTTCAAATGGTGCTATCTGTTCACGCTTATATGTGGAGGGAGCAGGCTTTTAGCTGTGGATGTCCCAAATATCTAAAACGCAAACTAATCATGTTCCAGTATTGCTAACACTGACAGAAGACAGCAGGTGCCGCTGAATTATATACCTCGTTAAAGTCAGAGCAAGCAAATGGATTTTATGGCCCCACATTATTCTAATCAAACTCATATAAACCTAGCTAAATTTTTTTTAAATTGTGCTCAAACTTTAATTAAATATTGTTTCCCATGAAGTCTGAAATGCATGCTGTGAGCTCCAGATGTCAAGCTCTTGCACAGATGGATTAAAGTCAGCAGGATAACTGTCTCTTTTCCCTTTGATAATAATTAATTACTCAAGCAAAAAACAAATGCCTAAGCAGGTGTGCATAGTAAATGTGAGGGGATTATACGCAGGGGCGGTTCTGGGGGGGGATACAGGGGCCAGTGCCCCCGTAACACTGACCAGGGACCCCCCTGTGGCTCCCCTCCAAAAAAAAGGTTACAATATTACGATTTATTGGAACTAAATCAAATCAGAGACCCGGATGTACAGTGGAGATTAAACCGTTCATTACCTATAAAAGCAAATACTGTTTATGTTGTTTAATTACATTATCACTTAAAGTGGACCTATTATGCTATATTGGAAAAATATATTGTAGGGCCATACCTATACAAAACATGCCCTGTTAGAGAAACGCGGATTTTGGGTCCTTAGCTTGAAAAAAAAAAAAAGAGGAGGCGGCGCTAATGCCTGATCAGAATTATACCGGAGATAAAGTAAAATGTTGCTGTGATAAAACGCCATCCTGTTTTAAACCACATCAAGGATTATGTCTGAAACAGTATGGAGCTCAAATGCTTTTTCTCTTGCGGGTTTATCACAAGGTTTTTTTATTTCCTGCTTTTTAAACACATGTGCTCTACCAACACGTTCTCACTCCCAACCCGTCACACGTTGACGGACGGTCAGTGCCCCTCCCCGTCACGGAATTACGGACAGAGTACCCCTTGAGAGTCAGTTTTCAACAGGCAGGGCGTCCCATAGACCTTCATAGACCTCCCATAGCGTTGATAATAGACGCCATGAGAACGCTCCCCGACGGTCGGTTGTTATTGTCAATATTAATATAATATTTTTTAATAGTCACACTCAATTTCACCGATTTTCTTGTTGCCCCAGCTGGTCAACACCTCTTTTAGCAGAAACAAAGGCTACATTAATGTATTAAATCGATGTTAATCCATGTGTGTGGTTGTGGAATTAATGGACGTGCCGTTGTTCGTTACAAACTCTTCAACTACAACCCTAATTATATTTAAAAACATTTTAGAAGGCCTCACGAAATACTTTAATGTAAATTTAAATTTAAATTTAAATGTGAAGGGAAGTGTGTAATATGGTGATTGACATTATTCACCCACGGATCTATGGGTGCTATATTTTTTTATTATTAGATATTAATAGGAGACACAGACAGACAAACTAATAAGGCTTTATTTAAACATTAAAGAATACTTTAGGTTAAGGTCTTATTTTGAATAAGAAAAAAGCTTTGGGGGTATAAATATTAAGCCTGACAAAGTACTAATATATTGCTTTCCTGCAATGTTAACTACTGTATGTTTAAGCACTTATGTTTAAGCACTTATTTTGTCATTACGTCATGTTTGTGCCCCTTCAAATAAAGTGGTGACCCGGTCTGTCGGTCCAAAGTATTGGTGAAATAAGGGGAAGAATAAAGATTCGAAGAACTATAGCGGAATGCTGTAGCACATTCGCACTAATTAAGATGAACAGAATAGAAAAAGGACACAAATCCCCCCCTTTGACACCGAAGCAGGTGGTTTGTCCCAATCTGTCCCAATTGGCTGCTTGCAGTATTTAGGAGTCCTCAGTGCTTAGCCAAACCTTTTGCTGAACCAGGAAGTAACCTCCCCAAACGGCCACGGTAAATCAAAGACGAAGAAAGTAAAATGTTTGAAAATAAGCTATACTGTGACCGATTACAAGCAAATGAAGAGTTAACCATTTAAATCTAATGTGTGGTGTTAAAAAATTGCATGTTGTCCTGCACCTGAACTGAAGCATACTGTAACTACTGAAGGTGACGGTGCAGTGGAATTGTTTTACCCTGTGTGGCTGTGGCCATCACAGATGTCTAACTATGGAGATGCAATTTTTCCCCACTGTGCAAAATGTATGGGTTTCTCAGGTTACCAAGGGGTAGCATGGAAATGTCTCCCTTTCACTGTGTCTAAAATATGAGATTGTTGTCTTATGTTTTCAACTATGTGAGTCCCGTGGCTGCCAAACAGCTACAGCCAACTTGTCTTTCCATGAACCCAGGCCACATTTCCATTGCCAGCAATACAGTTAAACATAGACCCATATCTATCCCCCTCTGTATCATGTGAAAGGAAATCTGAAAATACCAACACACACATACAGTTGCAAGAAACCCTTTGGATTCTCCACACATAGCGTTGTGTGTTCCTTCCAAACAACTCAACTTTGGTTTCATCTGTCCACAATATTTTGCCAGTAGTGCTGTGGAACATCCAGGTGCTCTTTTGCAAACTTCAAATGTGCAGCAATGTTTTTTCTGGACAGCAGTGGCTTCCTCCGTGGTGTCCTCCCATGAACTCCATTCTTGTTCAGTGTTTTACGTATCGTAGATTCGTCAACAGAGATGTTAACATGTGCCAGAGATTTCTTTAAGTCTCTAGCTGACACTCTAGGATTCTTCTTCACCTCATTGAGCATTCTGCGCTGTGCTCTTGCAGTCATCTTTACAGGACGGCCACTCCTAGGGAGAGTAGCAACAGTGCTGAACTTTCTCCATTTATAGACAATTTGTCTTACCGTGGACTGATGAACATCAAGGCTTTTAGAGATACTTTTGTAACCCTTTCCATCTTTATGCAAGTCAACAATTCTTAATCGTAGGTCTTCTGAGAGCTCTTTTGTGCGAGGTATGGTTCACATCTGGCAATGCTTCTTAAGAATAGCAAATTCAAAACTGGTGTGTATTTGTTATAGGGCAGGGCAGCTTTAACCAACACCTCCAATCTCGTCTCATTGATTGGACTCCAGGTTGGCTGACTCCTGACTCCAATTAGCTCTTGAAGAAGTCTTTAGCCTAGAGGTTCACATACTTTTTCCACCCTACACTGTGAATATTTACATGGTGTGTTCAATAAAAACATGAAAACATATAATTGTTTGTGTGGTATTACAGTAGTTTAAGCAGACTGTGTTTGTCTATTGTTGTGACTTAGATGAAGATCAGAACACATTTTATGACCAACTTATGCAGAAATCCAGGTAATTCCAAAGGGTTCACATACTTTTTCTTGCAACTGTATGTCATATGATTGGGAGTAAATGTTGATGACGTCACAGTTCATTCATTCTCAGCGCTCAACAAGTCCACTGTCCCACTGTGCTCCCTAAATTCAAAGTTGTGAGCTAAGTGAGGTTCTGAAGTCACAAGCTATGCTCACTTGTTTGCTTGTGAGATAAAGTATTTAAGTAAAAGTCAAATGTAAAAAATTACTGAAAAGAAAATTCAAGGAGCCAACATAAAAAAACTTCTTTTTTTTTGCCATAACGCTTTGCAGATTAAAAGAGTACACATGTGCATTTTAACATGACATCCAAGCTAGCTGTTTCCAACATCTTTCATTCTGCAAAAGCTAACCCCAATCAGGCCTATTCCTTTAGCATTCAACCTTATATAGCCAAGTGGAAATGTGTCTTGCAGGTTAGTGAAACACAGAACACACATAGCCTACTTCAATTTAAAACATAATAAAGTAAACGTATAAAGTACATTCGGTGTTTAAAACATGTGAAACCCATCAGACAAGCTGTCATAAAATAATAGTAATAAGCTGAAGAATCATCATAAAAAAAAATCTCCTGAGCCTTTTCTTAATAGCATTGAGGACATCTACAACACGGGAATTAGTAAACAAAGATTGAAATGTAGTACAGAAAATAAACAGTACCAACAGTCCCCCTGTGAGATCCCTCCGCCTAATTGACTCTCAGTGTGAGCCGCAGCACCTGTCTGCACGCTGCTTCTCCCTCCGCTGGCCGCATCATCTCCTCCCGCAGAGCTAACAGGAGCAGCAGCGTCTCTCCTCCAGCTCCAAGCTTTATGTCTGTGAGGGCTGCTCGTCGCCGGAGGGGAGATTTTGCGGATGCTCTTCACCTAATGTGACACATTTCACATTTCAAGTGGTCGAATCACCGGTTGAAGCAATGAGAGTCTTTGGAGTGATAATAGGGATTTTACAGTACGTGGGACTTTATATTCAACTTAACGCAGCTCTTAATGTCGGACACGGAGAGGTGGATAATCACATCTCTGGAAATGGTAAGTTTGTTCATGCCTCTGTTTGTGTAGCTTGACTGCAAAATAAGCTTGTATTATTATAATCATGTTTTGAGCAGAAGCGAATGGGTGTGGTTCAGTGGAGGAGATAATTAAGTGTATTTAAGTTTAATGCCGTTTTATTTTTTGTCAAGATAGATGTCTATTATTATTTCAGTTGTGCTCATGTCTGTGAGAATCTTAAAAAGGGAATCGCTATAGGTTTTAATTTAACTTATAAATATCCCACTTGTATCGTCTTTAAATGTGTCCACTTGAACATTGTTTATTGGGTTAGTTATTTGAAGTGCATTCATCTAACTGAATATGACATAACTGCAGTAACTTATGGAGAGCCATATTCATTACTTTACATTTATGAATAATTAGTTTCAACCTTTGTTGGAGAAGATCAGGTATTAGCTATAGAGTTTGTATTAAAACTGTGTGCAAGATGTTGTTTTGGAATACAATCTCAAAAGTTGCAGACCTAAATGTCTTTTTGATTTTTCTTTATATATTTCTCGGAAAATCTGATTGCAATAAAGTTAGATAACTAATGTCTGAATGTCAACAAGATATACTGGTCTCTTTGAAGTAGTGATTAAATATCAGAGGAAACAAATAACAGATCCATATTGTAACATCTGTATACCATTTGCAGCACCCACACATACTATATTGATGTTTTTCATATGGCTCATGGTTTTACAGCAATGTACATTACAATAAAAGTAAATATTTTGTCTAATACTAAATTATACAAAACTGTGTTCCAAGGCCCAGCAGTCTCTATACCAACAACACAGTTGACATGGTGAAGCCTTTGAATTGTTCCACTAATTCATTTCAAGAATATTTTTTAAGTCAACCACTTGGAGTTTGATGCCCCATCCTTCCATCTCTGAAAAAGGAGCATCGAGGGGTTGAATGCAACATAAGTCCTGGTCAAAAGCAGATTGTGAATATTGCGAATGCATTAGCTTAGACCAAAAGACTAAGCAATTAGAACAACTATAATCTATTACTTCTATTTATTTTGGCCACTCTATGTGGAATACTACATCATATATTATATGAGTTAAAGAGGGTGTTTGTCATGCAGTATACACCTCCACCAGCCACATAGTCACTTATGTTTGTCTCCTGTCCAAATCACCAGTGTTATTAGATAATATTTATCGTTCGAAACAAGGTTAAGATTGGTGGACATAAAAAGGAAATGCAAGGCTAAGGTTTTGAGCTTTCAATGTTCTTAAGACAAATTACCCGTAAGGTAGCCAAAGCAGAGAGAGGGTGTTTCTCAATGTCGAGTACGCTTGCTTGGTAGCACATGTCTTCCCAGTTACTTGCTTCAGAAGCGAGGCAAGAATACTTCCTGGCATTCGGAAAACGAAGAGTGGAACAGGCGAGCAAGTGTGCAGGTGTGCGTCATATGAGAGGCCCCGCCTTACATTTCCCGCCACAGATTTGGGGAAATTGGTCTGTGCGCAAAGCATTGTGGGGATTTTAAGACCGCGGAGTCTACACATGTGCAGCCTCGAAATTTCTCGCTACAAAGTACGCCGGGCTCGGTAGAATTCCAAGTATGCTAGACATTGGAACAGTCCTTCGGCGGCACTCGATGACGTAGTATGCTTGAAATAGTGGCTCTGGAGCAGCTTTACTCGACATTGAGGGTGTTTCTCAATGTCGAGTACGCTTGCTTGGTAGCACATGTCTCCCGATTCACTTGCTTCAGAAGTGAGGCAAGAATACTTCCTGGCATTCGGAAAACAAAGAGTGGAACAGGTTAGCAAGTGTGCAGGTGTACGTCATATGAGAGGCCCCGCCTTACATTTCCTGCCACAGATTTGGGGAAATTGGTCCGTGCGCAAAGCATTGTGGGGATTTGAAGGACTGGAAGTCTACACATGTGCAGCCTCGAAATTTCTCCAAACGAAGTACGCCGGGCTCGGTAGAATTCCAAGTATGCTGGAGATTGGAACAGTACTTTGGCGGCACTCGATGACGTAGTATGCTTGAAATAGTGGCTCTGGAGCAGCTTTACTCGAGATTGAGAAACACCCTGAGACACACAGGAACTGTGCTGCACTCTGTACTTTTTGGAGGTGCGTGAAGGCTTGACATGCTTGGCATTGTCCTGTGGCACCTTATGTTATATTCACAACTTCTTTTACTCATGGACTTGATTTCTACTGAGTGCTGACCCTGATTGGTTTGCTATGTTTATGCAGATCTTGATTTCTGATCCGTCATGTCAAATTGCTTTTTATTTTGAGTCACCACTGTAAATAAAAATAGTCTGTCAAACCAGCTGTAAGATAGTATTATAATATGCAATTATGAGTGCATAGTTTTATGTTGTAGGTGAAAGCATGTGTGTATGTCTGGTAAGATATAGCATTCAGAAAGCTGCTAAAATAACATCTTTGCTTTTATTTTCAGACAGTGCTATTTTTGTTCAAGTGCTACCTTTTCTCAGAGTCAGCTCTTTTGAACACAATTGGCATTTTTACCTCCTAGCAATCCTACCTTTCTCCAGCAGCTCCAGACATAGATTTACTGTTCTCTAATTAAATTGCGTGATAACCAATTCATCACAGTGTCTTCCTCTGAGCCCTCGCTGCTTAGCAAGTTAGCTTTAGCTCGATCGCTAAGAGTGAAAGCAGCTGGCTCCAAATGGATTGAGTGTCTAGGACAGGTCGGAAAATCAATTAATAGCATTTCTCTCAAAGGGACTTGATTACAATTTGCCAAGTCGTGTTATTTCCCACTCTGTGTCAGACTGTCTGGCCATAAAGAAGAAAATTCCTCAGGGTGTGATGCTTTAACAAAAACTAAAATGTACTCTGAAAAACAACCGTTCAGGTTTTTTAAACTTGTTCCAGAAACTAAATAAAAGCCTTCTATTTTCACTTTTCACCAAAAGTAGCTCTAGCTCTAGCAGTAGTGTTAAGTAATCCTCAGGAGATTACTCTTTTTTTTTCTTTTTTCTTTCAGTCTGGCTTTTTGATAAATTGCCCAAGCAGAGGGGAGCCGAGCCGTCATGTAGAGCAGAGAGGCTGGATATACCGTTCTGGAGAGTGCTTGTTAGATTCAACCCTGAATCATTTGTTTCAGATAAGTGCATCTGGCTGGGGCTCGGTCAGCCCCTGCACCACAGATTCCACTTCAGCTCAAGTGTAGATTGAATCACCTGCTACGCAAAATAATAGGTTATGTGTGAATTCAAATGACAGGCTTACTTGAATCTGTGTTTTTACGTCAATGAGGGCCATGCGTGTCAGAATATGACTCACCTACCTGAGGGTCGTGTCTCACCAGTGAGGACATGGGAGGCAGATAAGAATGAGCATTGTTTGTGTGAGTTATTGGTCATGTTGATGCCGTACAATACAAAGTGATAATGATCCTACACGTAGTTTCATCCTCATTCTGAACCCAGTGCGAGACAGCGTCGGTGCTATTTGGCAGCGTTCATCCTGTTAACCATCGTGAGCGGACCACTTTCACAGTATGGGGGCGTGTACCAATTCATTAGGCTTCCAAAGTGTCTGATTCTCTGCCAGACCTCTGCTTGGTGTCCTCTTAATGAGGATAGCCAGCCCAGGCAGTTTGCATTGGCTTCCAATTTAATGGATCCCTGACTTTGCGGGGGGGCAACAGATTGTACAGTCACGCTGTCATGGCGGAGGGTGCTGGCGGAGGCTCGAGCAGGAGAGGGAAAAGATGGCTGCAAGAACACTCATCTCGAGAGGATACTGGAGGTGTTTTACATTTTAACCTGTCACACTTTAAAGGGAAAGCTAAAAATGTGCCTTCTGCTTCTAGCTATTGCAACACACATATTATAATATAATTGTAAATTATGGTAATTTTCTATTTTACACTGATTTATCGTAATAAGTAGTCCGGACCAGTTCTCAAAGACGTCCTCATCGGTCATCACAGAAGAAAGCCGTGGCCCTGAGAAATGTAGTTTTGTGCGAGCTGTGTCAAGGAGGGACTCTGAGGCATGAACTCAATTGCACGACACAGATAGTGTTCTCAAAAAATAAAGACTTTACTGGAATTTAACACAGTAATCAAAACAAGGAAAACAAATATACTCTTTCGAGGAAAACTAGCAAGTGATCAATGAGGTAGATCCGTGGGAAGTCCGTGAGGTAATCAGGAACGTGGGTCACAGTAAGACAACGAACTGACAATGAACAGGAGGAAGCTACCACAATATATACACAGGTAAAGGGGACACAGGTGGAAACAATCAGGGCGGGGAAAACAATCAAGGATGCAGGAGACAGAAGGGGGCGGGGAGCGTGGAGGCCTGAAATGAGAGGGATGATTAATTAAGGGAATAAACATAAAGCACAGGGCAAAGGGACATGACAAAACTAACATAAAGAATACACTTTTACTATTAGTTTCCTAGACATGACAAGCTGTTCTTTGGCTTAGATGTCAAGCTCTGCCTCAACTCCAATTAAACTTCATGAAGACCCTATTCAATTTGTGCCATGCAAAGTTCTTAAGCACTTGTTTCACTACTGTACAGCACTGCCGCGTCTCCTGAAAGTATATACGCCATCATTTTGGCCACATACTCAAATCAAATAAATGGTTGTCTTTCATCTCCGGAGAGTCCAGATGGAGTACAGTGTGCTCCGAGCCCCGGTGTTGTCAACAACACGTGCTGCTACCACACTCTGGGAGGAAATGGGAAAATAGCCTTTGAGTCTTGTGTCCCAGGGGCTATGAAAAATTCCCTCTAGAGCACTGGCTGCAACAGGCAGACAGCTGCTTGCTTGATTACCGGCTCCATTCTTATTTAATTATTTTACCTTCCACCTTGAAGAGAGGCTGAAGGTCACGCAGCAAGCGATTATTTCCCCAAGGAGGCTCCTGTCTGTTTGCATCGCCACTTATTCTGAACCAAATACAGCATTATTGACTTTATGGTATATTCCCAGACTGCTTATTTTTGTTTGTCAGTGCTATCA